TTTCAGACCCGCCTATGGTCGAGCGTGTTCAGGTATGAGACACTTTATTTTAACTTTTCACTTCACTTCCCACGTTCTAACACCTTCAACGAGTATCCTTCCTAAATATATCAGACATAATTTGAATCACTTTCTGATTTTTATTACTCTGAATCCCATTAGCAACCAAAATGTGCGATGAGGAATAGTGCGTTTTTTTTTATATAAGGAAATTCTTTTATATTGTGAATTACTGGGGAGTTCAGGCTAAAAGCGTTGCTTTTGCAAGCGACGTACCGGAGGCACCGTCGACGTGCCGGCTTAAACGAATCAACACACCTCATTTCAAGGGAGTGCGTGGTACACTCCTGGCCTCACCCGAAAAAGTGGGTTTTGGTGATGAAAGAAGGCGCTGAAAAGCTGTTTCATCAGCATGACCTTGAAAGCATGGTTGCAGTTTCTTGAAACATAGGCTGATACCGCTTTGCCACAAGTGACTTAGTTATAGTTTGTCTTTGGTGCCACTTTTGTTCGCACTCACCAGGGAATTTTTTCAAACAACTAACTTTTTTGTTACAATGTTCCTATCATTAGTGCCTAGTTTATTTTGGATGACTAGCAACGTCGTTCTTGGTTTGGCTTTGAAAACAAATTTTTCTCTTTCAATAGTTGTCTAAACCTCCCTTTTTTGAGCTCGTTTTGCTTGAAGTGCATGAATAGTTTCATTTGACGAACTGCTTGTTGGTTGAGAGTTGTGTTTTTACTCGGCTGCCTTAGTCATTTCTCTCTGTCGTGCTTGAGGGTATTGGATTACGCAGATCGCAGAGCAAACAGGTCGTATCATGAGTAGTGAATACAAATGGGAGCTTCTGAATAATTCTGTCGTGACACTTGAAGGCAATGTCCAGACAATATCGTCATTTTTGATTTCTTGCTACATTGCTGTAATTGTTCTTCTTCTAGGCTTATCCCCAGGCCAGATCGAAATATTCAACCGGTAAGCGTGAAATCGCTATGGATCTTTTATACGGCTGTAATTTTTGCGGAGGCTTTATCTAAAGTGCAGCCGATCTGGCTTTTCTCGCGAGCCGTTCTATCTAGCATGAAAACAGGCGTTCATCATTAAAATCACACAATTGGCACTCGCTCTGCCATTTCGAAGTGGTTCTGAAAATCCCTTTTCAAGGATTCCCACGAACTGCAGC